AGCTGCATGGGATCATGAAATCTAAATTCAAAAGACTTTGAGTTTATCCTTTCAGTCACTTTAGCTTACCCAGTTGCCAATCTTACCCAAGTGGACATTTCCTGGCAAAATTTCTCCTTAATGCCTCTTTCACTTCTTTATTTCTCAAGCAATAGATGAGAGGATTCAAGGCTGGTGTGACTACAGCATAGAACATGGATACTGTTTTGTTGAGGTTAAAGGGATGGATTTTTCTAGGTCGGGCATACATGAAGACTGTTGTTGAGAAGAAAATGATGACCACAGTTAGATGTGAAGCACATGTTGAGAAGGCTTTTTTCTTTCCTTGGGAAGTGGGGGTGTGGAAAATGGAAGTGATGATGAAGAGGTAGGACAAGATTATGACAGAAAGTGGGACCAGGAGAATGACCAAGGCCAAGATGAAATCCACTCGCTCAGCTGCTGACATGTCAGTGCAGGAGAGGTTGAGTATTGGGGAAATATCACAGAAAAAATGATTAATAATTCCAGGCCCACAAAATCTCAGTCTAGAGATGAAGGTGACTTTGACAAAGGAGATGGAGAAACCACATAACCAGGAGAGAACACCTAACTGGAAGCATAATCTATGGGTCATGATAAGTGGATAGCGAAGAGGGTTGCATATGGCTATGTATCGATCGTATGACATTACAGCAAGAAGAACACACTCAGTGCACATAAGGGAGATGAAAAAGTAGAGCTGAACCATGCAATTCTGGAAGGAAATGCTTTTGCTATCTGACCAGAAGTTCACCAACAATTTTGGAAGTGTGACACTGATATACCATATTTCCAAGAAGGACAGATTTCCCAGGAAGAAATACATGGGCTTGTGGAGGTTCCGGTTACCTTTTACTACTGAAATAATGATGAGGTTCTCCAGGATGGTTAATAGGTAGGTTAGGAAGAAGGTAACAAAAAGAAAGGACTGGATCTCTATCCCAGTGGGAAATCCCAGAAGAATAAATTCAGAGATGATAGTTTGGTTCTCCATCTCCAAAACAGACCGTATCTACAGACCAATGATGGCATCGTAAACCTATGGAAAACAATGGTGAATCATGAAATATAATGAGTACAGTAAAGTAACATTTACCACATAATAGAAAAAATAGAAAGCAGAAAGCTTTGATGAATTCTGAACTCACAGTTTCTTTAGGTGGTTCAGCAATCAAGGATGAAACATATTCATTTCTGATTCATTGCTTGAAAGTGTCAATAGATCTAGAACTGTGCAACATTTTTGTACTATCTGCAGCAGAGTTCCAACAGTTAGCTTGGTCTTCATGCTCTTCAGAAGCTGTAAGGTGTGTAGTACTTTTATCCTTCCAGTGAAGTTCCTTGGCCTTTTCAAAACTGACTAATGAATGCCTGTGTTAATATGTAACTAATGAGGAAGAAGGCAATCCCCCAATGTCACATAATCTTGGAAAGGGGAAACAAAGGTTAAAATACCAAGTAATGTCATAAGTGAACCAGTTGTCTGGTTTTGCTCAAAGCTGTTTCCTGGATATTAATTTATCCAGTTTAGCCCAACTTCAATGGAGTGGGGTGGAGTGGGGTGGGATGGCCATGATAACATAAGCAATATAGAAAGAAATTAGCAACATTACTGGAGATAAAATGCATATTAAGGAAAGGAAAGGCAAATAATTTGCTAAACACAATTTGTAAACCACTTGGAAGTTCCTATGACTTATTGTAACAATGATTTTCAAAAAAGACAAATTAGAAGGTCCAGTCAAGCTTCACCTAATGGGCTCTTAGTATGGGAGTCCCACTGATTTTATGGGAGTCTCAATGATTTTACATCCATCTTTCCTACTCCAATTACCATTTCATTTAACAAAATCTCATGTAGTGACATTATAGAATTTGTGAAGTTGGATTTATGTATCAATATCAATTCAGATGGCCCAATAAACAGAGTGTACAGATAAATCAAAATTATAAAATAGACACAATAACTAACCAATGATTGAAAAGCTGAACATGATAAAACCAGCTGCAGGGATAAAAACAATGCAGCATATTGAAAGGAAGGAAGGACAGACAGAGGGAAGGAGGGAGGGAAATCAATGAGAATACATGACAAATAAAGCAAAGTGTGGAGTGGTCATTTCAAGAGGCTGTTCTAACTACTCTAAAAGGTTGCATAGCACTAGCACTTACAGACACCTCTAACCTATTCATTTATTTTATTTATATCCCATACTCCCCACCACTGTAAGTAACCCAAGGTGGTTTTCAAATCCTACCTTTAACCTCACAAGGTAAATTAAGCCAAGAGTCAGTGACTGAGCCAATCAAGTCACCTAGAGAGCTTCATTGCCAAGAAGCAAGAACTCCTGAGTCCCTGTCCAACACTCTAACCACTACACCACACTGTGAAGCTAGAGGGTTTTACTGAGGCTAGATGATCTCACCTAACAAATTCTGGCCAATTGTTGTTAAAAGGTTTTTGAAGGATAAAAGCCATCAAATCCATGGAGAATAACATTAACCAGGACAGCTGTATCAGTATGCTTCTCAGTGCCATTTCTTGGGAAACATTAATGCCGTGCTTGTGGTATTCTCATAGGAACATCTGGTTTGCTGCATTAGGACTAGAGGGTGCCTTATTCTGATCATGCTGAGTTCTTGCCATGTTCTTATTAGTGTGTGCCAGGTCTTGTTATACCTCTCTTTCATGGCTTAATTTTTTTTTTTT